ATACTGAAGAATCAAACTTGACACCAAAAAGTAAGAATTACATAGGCAGTTAAATGGATAGTTATTTCTGGAGGGCCTCAGCTCTAATTAATATAATGGTTATAGTAAAACTAAAAGTACCTGCCTTAATTGATGGTGTAATCCAGTTGTAAAGGTAGTACATTCCGTCCTGTGTGAACAGCAACTAAACTGACCGTGTGCCTTATCAGCACATTGTGAAGGGTGGAACTTCATGTTTCTCTGCGGTTGCAATTATGTGGAGTAGTTGCATCTATATTCTGCAGAAAAAAAGACTGAGATTTTCAGATTCTCAGCAGAACTGTAGCACTCTGAATATTCTGTTTCTTCTTTGACATTGTTAATTTTGGATCTTAGGTGGGGAATTTCAGTAATCAAATAAGTGTATAGCATGTAGCTAATGGAAACCATGCATCCCTGAGACTACTAATGATGTTTTCTACAGGAAAGCATTGCATTTTTTTGTTGTCGTAGAACTGCCATCTGTTAAAGTAATAACATTATTGCCTGACTACAGTGAAATGTATTTCAATGTGAATGGTTTATGGACTTTGAGCTATGAAACTGGTGTTAAAAAACATGTTTCATGTGATTAGGCAGTGCATTTAGCCTTTTTCTCCTGCAATAATTTGATCATTTTTATAAAGACTTAGTTGCAAGACTTAAAAGTCACAAGGATTTCAAGTTTTTCCCAGGTTCCTTTTTTATTTATTTTAACGTTATTTTAAACTAGTGCAGTCTAGTGAAGTGTCACTGATGAGCTCTGGTTCCTGTTCAGCACTAGGTTCCTTTGCTCTGATTTCACTGACAGTGGTGAGTAGTCCCACCTCTCCTCTAGCAGGCTGGTGGAAACCGCCCCGAAAGCTGAGTGCTGATTGTGGGTTGTGAGCTGCTGTTGGGGTGTAGGAACGTGCCCTTGCGTTTTGGGCTACTTCATATCTTTGTACCATCGTTAGGTGTGTGGGCAGGTATTGGAGAGCTGTGAGAGGTGGCTGCTGAGGAAGTGAGTAAGGACAGTGAGGCCTGTGTATGAAAGAAGGAAAAGGTTTTATTCCCAGTTCAGGAAGTTGCAGTTGGATAGTCTAACTTACTGCTGAGGACTTGGCTTCCTTTTGCTGTCTTGTGGACTTGGTGTGTGGAGTAAATAGTGTCAGTTAGAGGAGTTGCTATGCAATTGCAATTTCAAATGAAAAATTGGCTGTGTTGTCAGTATCCCCAGGTAAAAATGCTGCATTCTTTATGTGTAGGTGCCACCTACTGCTCTGATCAACTGAAAAAGATGAAGATTTAAAATATTAGTAGTTAACCAAAACAATTCTCTTACCTGCAAAGTGTTAGCAACTATAACTGGAGTATAAGAGTTAGTGTATATGCTTGTGTTCTTGTGATTGCTATTGTGTACAGGTTGGTGTGAATCCAAATGATTTTCTTCTTCAAAATGATGAAAATCATCTTTGCAAGATAAATGATTCTGAGAGTCTTCCATTGTTCCTATCTCTGCAAGCGGTGTGATGAAGGCAAGGAGTCCTTTCCTCCTACACGATCAGTGTGAAAGCGTTTAAAAACGTTAGCTATGCTTGGCACTTTGAAGTTTTGTGTGATGGTGGTATAGTTGGCTCGCCTCTCACTTCATCTGTTGTCTGTTTTCCATAAACCAATGTATAACATGGTGATGTATTTGCAGAAGGAGGTAATTGTATTACTGGTTTAAAGGAGTGATAGACATGTCACATTTAGATGTGGTTTGTATTCACTTTTCAATTTTAAACAAGTGATGACTCTTTGGCAGTATTTTTTTGTCTTTGCACTATAACTTAGAACTTGAAAACCATCTTTGGAAGAGTAATAATTAGTGCTTCAATTTAAATTTAAAGATGATAAATATTATACCACTATGTTTTGACCTCTGGAATTTATTGTCAAGGTGAAAAGCATGCCTCACTGTGAAAACAGTCTTCAAGCAGCAAAATCTATTTCTTGCTTATGTTGACAAACAGTACAAAAGATTCATTTTGCATCCTTGGCATTTTTTTGCATCCTTGGCATTTTGTATGATCAAAATGCCAAATGACTCTAAAATGTGAATTTATCATGCAGTCTTCAAAGACAAAAAAAAAGTTAAAAAAGTAAAAGAACTTCCATATATGGGCAGAAAATACAGATCTTCGCCTTTCCTCTGCAAAAGCAACAATAAATCCACAAGTTAATATATCTAGCATGCTTGCTGTGGTAGAACATTTGTTACCTCTTTAGTTTGCTTGCTTTTATTATAAAAACAAGCCACAGATGGCAGAGCCACTGCCAGTGGTAATGATATGACTTCTTCCTTTTCTATTCTTCCCCCCAATTAAAAGAAAAAAAAAACCAGACACACACACAAATTCCCCAATACTTCCTGTCAGTGGCTCTGACCATGCGGACAAGACAAATGTGTAGTTCCTGAATCAACATACATCATCTAAACATTAAGCTTAGATTTCATTAGTCTTGGATAAATGTCTGCAATAGAGGATAAAGAGTTTTCTGATTATTTCTTTTCCCCAGGGACTCTGAAACAAGTGTTTGTGACCCATAGGAATTATCTACTGGTGCATTACATGGTCAAGAGTCTTCAAGATGTAAGCGTATTAGTAAAATGAACTGCAAAACTTTCAGTAGAAATACTGATGCTATTGAAAAGATTAAAATTCTTATAAAGGCTCTTCAAAATAGCACTTCAGAAAAGAATTCTTGGCAGTGATGGAAAGATCTTTACATCAAGAAATTAGCAGATTCCTTAAGATTGCCATGCATTCCTCCCCCAGAATTTGTCATAACGGCATGAACCCCTGTGAATCTAACTGGAGAATTTAGGTGCACTTCTGTAACAACAGTTTAATTTTCAGTGCTGTTTTGATACAATTTCATGCCTTATTGGGGAAGTTGTATGGGAGATGTTATAAAACTTGCAAGAAGTGTCACTACTGGTGTCCCAGAGCTGGCTAAAAGCTTGCCGCGCCAGTGGTGTGCAGTATGTGTCTGCCAGCTGTTTCCCCCTTTCTCACCATGCTTGTTCTGACAGTCTTAGAAATCTTTGCAATACCTACCTCCTCTTTGCCCCTCATCTCCTCAATTTGATAATTGATTTTTTTTTTCTTTTCTTTTGATCTGCCTGGAATTACTTTTTCAGATCTGTTACCTTTGGATTAATTGCAGCTAATACTTGGACACAGCAACAGACAGTCCCAAACTGTATGCTTTGTGCAGGAGTACTAAGGATAGGAAGGCAAAGCCGTGGGGGGCCCTTAGTCACTCTGGAGGATGGCTGTGGTTTGGTGTTCTGAATAGCTGGTGATACTGGGATGGCAGCACAGGGTGCCTGCTTTAAATGGGAGAGTGAAAGCAGATTTCTGATGACTTCTTTTGTGTGTCTAATCCATAGTTTAGTACACTAGGGCAGTAGTGTGTTGAGAAACTTTGCAAAGCTGCTGTATGGTTATATTATCTATTAGTAGTGTTATCACAGTGAGGCTGTGAATGGCAACAGTACTCTGAACACAAGCTGTTAGAATTTCTTAAATATTTTTAGTGGGCTTTGAAAAACATTTCTAAGGTTTGCTGCTTCCTATTGAGAGTTATTTTTAACCTTTTTAATATTTTCTACAGAAATTACTGGGATGATTTATTTAGTGTGTATTTTAACAAAGGTAGTAGATTGTATGCTTTCCTGCTGAATTTAAGTGTTATTTGAGAAATCTTTGCATATTCTAAAGAAAGGTTTGTGAATCATAAGTAGCTCGGTGTGCAGAAGGACATGTTTGCAGTATTTGAAGTATATAGATTTATTAGAATAAATTTATCATAGGACATTTCCTGATGTTAAAGATCAGGAGGTATCAGAAAAGTGTTTTATGTCAAACCATCTGTAGAGCTTTCAGGAGTTGGAGCAGGAAATAAGAAAGTAAATAAATAAAAAATTGAAAAGCAAGAATAGTTTTTCAGTCAGACATATGACTCTTCCTCTGAAGGCCTTGGCAGGTTTGACCAGGTAATAGGCAGAGACGCTTTGTGTTTGTGTGATGGAAAAGTTGTTCAGGGCTTGCCTCTTATTTGTGTAGAAGTTTATTTAATTGCTTGCATTCTAAGCTGCCAGTGAACTTTCTGTTGTCATCATCTGAACAGAGATGGCCCTCATAAGCGCCAGTAAAACTGGTTGCTGCACCTGCTCCTCGCCCCAACAAAATGTCACGTAGCCTAAGAAAGGATTCGTTTAGCTGAGAAGAAAGCCTTGTGATTATTTGCATTTTTGTCTCTCTTGTTCTTCCTAATAATGATTTGGCACATTTTGCAACCCTTATTATTGGTCAAAGCCTTGTGTCTGTATCTTGGGAACTTGGCAAGCACCTTTCCTCCCATCTTATTGATGGGTATGAGAGGTTCAGAGTTGGGAATAGAGGCTGTGTTCCTAATATGGTATCTCAAAGCCTTCTCAGCTAGCTTGTGAGAATGTGATGAGTGTACGTGTTTAGCTTTTTTATATTCAGATGGAACTACTTTTGCATACTCCCTAAAATCTACAGATAAATTAATGCAACATAAACAGTATGCATGCAGCAGTTTAACTCTTCTGCTGATCTGATATTTCCCATGCTGCCCTTAGGTCTAAGGTACTGGCCGTCAGACATCTATGTAGTTAAACAAGTGGTTGGAGCCTCTGAAGAATAGTAGGGTGTTGCAGATTTTCAGAGCCATTTGGGTGGCTCAGGTAGTTTAATGCACATCTTTTAATAATAAATTCAGATGTGTGTAGTGATTTATTTCGTTTTATAGAACAGCTAAACATAAGAAAACTTCCTTCCCAAAACAGTGCAGGTCTGGGATAGTTAAATGTTTGTGAACTCAAACACGTGAATGAGAAAATTAATTAATCAGTTTTTCTGCTAATGTTCATTGATCACAACTACAGATTGAATTACAGTTAATGACTGTATTTCTCTTTTCAGGACATAAGGGACGCTTTTACGTGATAGAATGGATGAACAGTCACAAGGCATGCAGGGGCCTACTGCTCCACCATTTCAGCCACAGGTACTTTTTATTTTTTTTTCCCCTCAATGGTTAGTCCAGATTGGATGCTATAATTTCTTCAATAGAAAAAGAGAGAAATTAGAGAATGTTACTTCTTGTGGGGACAAACAAGCTGTAAACAGATAGAATGTATTCTGGTGGTCTTGAAATTAATTGAATATCAGTCCTATATTTCATAGAAAATAATTACTTTTAATTTTTTCTTCCTACTGCTCACTTCCTACCCTCACTTTGAGGGTTTGGAGTTGGAGTGGGAGTGGGAGTAGGAAGCAAAGATGAAAGTAGTTGTTTTCTTGAGAAATAATGATCTGTTAGACACTACATGTTTTGAAATTGTATCAGAAATTCCATATTTGTTTTGAACTTTTAATTTTTTCTTCTTATACCTCCTGACAGTGATACTTACATGAATTAGTGCCATTACCTGTTGAAACCGTGCAAGAGAAATTCCCAGTAGCTGTAGTTCTTTTAGAAAGATGATGCACAGGAAATTTAATCTTTAGATATGTGTTGATGGTGTGAAACAGGATAAAGATGTTCTGATAAGAGATAATACTAAGATATTGCTTTTTGACATTTTTTTAGAAGGTAATTCTTTGAAGGGAGTTCAAGAAGAGCCTGTAGAGGAATACCCTAAAAATATTTACTGTGGTGGCCACTCCAAAATAAAAGTTGGAAGGTTATTTACAAAGCTGGAATCTAAATTTTATAGTTTTCTTGTTAACAGCATAGGTGATAAAGCAATTTGTGACTTCTGTTTTACAAAAACTAAGGTAAACTCTAGGTTGTGAAATTTAGTAAATTTACAATAACGAGCTTTCCTTACCTCCACTGTTTTTATTATAGCATTGTGATAACAAAAATTTCTGGATTTAATAGTATTTATACCAATGCAAAAAAAATAGAAATTTAAGATAAATGTATAGCTGTGCACACAGATATTTTAAGAAAATAGATTTGGAATTTCAAAACAAGAAAAGGGAATACTTAAAATCCATATTACGAATTTCATAAAAGATCCCTGTCATTATTACAGTTTTTTTCCTTTCCTGACTGAAGAGAAAAATAGAACACAGATGGTTAAGGTTTCTGTATTTCTGGGAAATCTTCCTATGTGTTTTGTTAGCTGACTACAAACAGGTTTCGTATTTCCTCATCTATCTTCTGAGTATTTGAATACCTGTTTCTGAATCACAGGATCAACTTTTTGAGGACTGGTTCAATTTTAGGAATATTACTCTAACATACAAATTCAGTTTATGATTTCATACTAGTAAAATATGCTTCTAGTTTTACTGTTCCAAGTAATACGGCTCATCTACAGGTATCCAGTTTCCTTTGTGGTAAACTAAGGACAGCCCTAAAGGCAGTACTGCTGTGATCAACTGGACACTTTCTACAAAAGAATAAACTAATGCTTATTTGCAGTTTTGGTTCGCTGTCAATCATTTCATAATCTGTGTTTGATTATTCTTTTTAAAAATCAATTACTGCGTGAGCTGCACTAAGCATGATTTTTGTGATTTGATTTTTCTTGAAATAAAAGGTTTTGGGTTTGTGGATCTGAGGTGGACCTTCATCAGATTAATGACTGTTTTGCATTTCAAGGGGAGCAAGTGTAATTGGATATTGCCAGAGTAATACTAAAATAGTCATTCAGTGACATTCTCATCTTGTTAATCCAAATTGTTTTTCCTGTGAGTCAGATACATACTTTAATTCTTATGTATTTCTCTGCTAATGGAGCATGCTTATGGTGAAAACTAGTAATGAAAAGAGGTTACTGAACTAATTACTGATATATTTAGAAGCAAGAACTGGAATTGAAAATACAGCAGGTTATGAGCAAGAGGTGAGGTAATGACTTATGTAGAATTGTTTGTCAGGTTTTGGTAAAGCTGTGAATCTCTTCTAAATCTCTTGGTCATTATAATGTACAAATATATGCTCGTACTCATAGCAAATTACCCTAATCACTGAAAATTGTTGATGAGGAGCATGAGAATATTTCTTCAACCATTATAATGTCTTAATCCCAGCTAGTTTGAAAACACTATTTCACAAAATCACACAGTGGTTGAGGTTGGAAGGAAACTCTGGAGGTCATGAGCCCTCCTGCTTGAGCAGGTTTCCCAGGACTATGTCCAGACAGCTTTTGACTATCTCCAAGGAGGGAGACTCTGCAGCCTCCCTGGGCAACCTGTGCTCAGTCACCCTCACAGTAAAAAAGTGTTTCCTGAAGTTCAGACAAAACCTTCTGTGTTTCAGTCTGTGGCCATTGCCTCTGGTCCTGTCACTGGGCAACATTGAAGAGAGCCTGGCTCTGTGTTTTAACACTGTTCTTTCAGGTACTTGTACATGTTGATGAAATCCCTGCTGAACCTTTTCGTCTCTAGGCTGGATGTTCTCAGAGCCGTCAGCCCTCCCTCATACAAGAGATGCTCCAGTGCTCTGATCATTAGTTGGCCTTTGCTGGACTCTCCAGTATGTCTGTCTGTGGGTGGCCCTGAACTGGATGTAGCACTCCAGGTGTGGTCCCACCAGAGCTGAGTAGAGGGGAAGGATCACCTCCCTCTGCGTGCTGGCAGCGCTCCTCCTGATGCAGCCCTGGACACTATTTGCTGCCTTTGCTGCAAGGGCACATTGCTGGCGCGTGTTCAACTTGGTGTCCACCTGGACCCCCAGGGTCCAGCCTGTAAAGCTGTTTCCTAGCAAGTCAGCGCCCAGCATGTACTGGTGCGTGGGGTTGCTGCTGCCCAGGTGGAGTGCTTTGCACTTCCCCATGTTTCCTGTCAGCCCGTTTGTCCAGCCTGTCAAGGTCCCTCTGCGTGGCAACATGACCCTCTGGCACATCAGCCATTCCTCCCCGTTTTGTGTTATCAGCAAACTTGCTGAGGGTGCACTTTGCCCTATCATCCAGATCATTAATGAAGATGTTGAGCAGCATTGGACCCAGTATTGACCCCTGAGGTACACTGCTAGTTACAGGCCTCCAACTAGACTTTGTGCCATTAGAAGCTCATTTTCTATTTGTAATTAAGTGCCTGAAAGCTCTTTCATAGTCTGTAACCTACAAAGTTAAAGCTCTGTGCTTCATTTCATCACAAGGACGTTTTGCAAGTGCAGATATTGAAGTATTCAGAAACCTCTTTCTTATTGTAAAAAGGATTATGCAAGAAGGTAGGATAATATGGATTAGTAGTCTGATATGGTAGACTTTAAATTCTAGAACCCTCAAGAGCTGAATGGGAGCTTTGTAGCATCAGAATACAGAAAAATGTGACTCAGTTGCTAGACTTCATAAACCATAAAGCAAAGGCAGCTTTTGTTTTGTTTTTTTCTTAAGCTGAAGACCAGTAGTTTACCAAGCCTCTCCCTGTACAGAGGATATTGCATGTCTCTGCTCAGCATTGCTATTCTGCTCTTTGTTTTCTAGTTCACCTGTATTCAGAGCTCTGTGTGGTATTTACGTGCACACAATAGACTTTTAGTGAAACATTTTGTTTTCCGTTTCATTCAAATGCTTTTCCTAAAAATGTCTGGCTTTCTTTTTGGTGGTGAGTGACCAATCAGTTGAACTTTTCAAGGAAGTTTTTCCATGGTATTTTGTAGATCTTTTTCCTGTATGGTAATAGCTAATTTAAAAATTGCAATTCTCTGTCTTGAGGGTTGTATTTCCCATTAAGTTTCTGATTGATAACCTTGAGATGCAAGTACTGAGTGCCAGGGTGGAAAACTAAGAGAATCATCTGCAAGGCTTTGCAGTCATATTTTGAGTTGGTTGTCTTGGGTAAGTTTGGATTGTAAAGAAACTTTATTGCTGCATTATATGTATTGAATAGTGCAGTTTCCTTTGGGATTTCACTGGTAACTTCTCTGAGAAAATAATTTTTCTGCTGCTGTTTCTCATCTTATAGCTGGCTATTAATCTACTCAATGTTCTGTCTCAACCTCAGAGTTTAGTTTTATAGGTTAGGAATCCTCACAGAAGGAACCTGGTTAAACATTTTTAAAAAACGTGTGGTGTGATTTCTTCAGCAGAAAAGCCCAATTAGGAAAAATCTGCCTGACTCCACTCTTAACTACTTATTAGAATCTCTAAATTGCTACAATTCAGCTATTTGTTTGGCTACGTTTGGACTGAATCTGTGAATAATTAAAAAATAACCAAATTGGGTTTTGAGTTTTAAAAATCCAGATCGGTCTTTGACTTGATATTAGTACACTGGCACGCAGCAATGGAGCAATACTGAAGAGGCTGCAGTGGCAGAAGACAAGGACCTTCTGGGAAGGCTTAGTCACTGGAAAATCCAACGTGGGCTGCGCCCTGGGCTCATTGTACGATAGGGTGTCTTGGTGAATAAAGACTTCATTGGCTTCTTCAGTGGTCTGAACAGATTTGTGAAACGTGCTGTCTTTTTTGCATGCCTTCTTTGATCAGTACAGCAGTCCGTTGTTATTTTATGGGGCACTAGATTCTTTTGAAAATTTAAATCTCTGCGATGATGGGAATTGCATGCAAGTAGGAAGTTTTGGAAAAACACCGAAATAGGACATCTCTTGAGAGGGCTGAGTTGAGAGCTACTGTCTGGCATAGTCTTAGAAGTTAACCGTGAATGCCTTATACTAACTACTGTGGATTTTCACCAGTGTATGCTTTCCTTCCCTGCCAGCTCTGCTACATGGGGTATCAGCTCTTTTCTGAGACTGAAACCAATCTGAAAATGAGTATTATGGTTTCTGTTGAAGATTGTCTTCACTTACTTGTCATATAAATGAGCTCTTCATGCCACGATTAATTAATTAGTGTATTATGATTGTCTCACATCTTTCCAGTATAGAGTTTTAAACTGGTCTTCCCTCGCCTCTCATTTCTTCTGTGCTCAGGATTACAACTGGATATATGGTTGAGAACTGAAATTTACAAAAATCTATTCAGAGCAGAAAAAATAATAATATTATTACGGTTCTAATATGTTGCTTGGCCAAAAGTTTAAAAAATGAATCTGAAAAGAAAGTAGCTCATTGGTTATTTTATTGTTGTAAGATAGAGATCTCTTCTATGGAAACTGTAATATTCCGAGTGCTCACTGATTTACTCGGTGAATACAATGTAATGTGATCATTAGTGAAGTGTATATAATCTCTTCTGTTACGGTCTCAGACCGAAGGAAATCTTTATCCTGCACAAGCTTATTCTCTGCAAATTGCGTTGTGGCGAGGAGAGACCCAGTGGTAGTTGGAGATGTGCAGCTATGTTGCTTCTCATGTCAGCTCTCCACATCTAAATTGTATGACAGGACAAGGGAGCAGATGAGACAAGCTGTCACTCAGCCACGCTGCCCTTTGAAGAAAGGCCATGGGGGGGAAAAGGTGCCGCAAATGGGCTGTGAAGTTTACATACAGTGCCCACTGTTAAACAGATTACCTCTAATGAAGTGTCTAATGCTCAGGCCATATCAGCCTAATCCTTGGTGGCAGTTCATCCCTCAACTGCCAAAAAACACCGCCCTCTGGCCCTCTCTCGCCACTCTGGCCGCCAAGCACAGGGAGGTGCCCGGTCTTAATAAAGCAAGACAGTGTGTGATCTGACATGCAAATGTAGGTCATTGCATATGTAAATGTGTGATTACAAACCTGCATGCCAAAACACATTAGTGAGACTTTGCTCTCAGCATGCGGTTGTCACACTGCCTTAGTAGTTCACGCTAATATTTGTCAAGTTACAGTGCAGACAGAGGCTGCAACTCCCAATTCAAATGGGAAGTACACAATACTTCTTAAATATAGCCTATTTAGAGAGTCTGTATCTTGCAGCTCTGTGTACAGAATTTAAAATCTTGAAGTGATGTGTAATTTTAGACATTTTCCCTAAAAGCCCTATAAATATCTCATTAAGCTAAATCCTGTGTTTTGGAGTGCATTCTAGCATTAATGCTGCACCACTTTTGTCAAAACGAGAGAGTCCTAACAGTTTGATTTCTGGAGCAACTGAAGAATATATGAAAATATATTGCATAGCTACTTAAATGTCAACATTAAAATATTATGTAAGCTGATCCTTTATTATCTCTATTGTCTCTCTTTTTGTTTGGTGGGTTGTTGTAGGTTTGTTTGGGTGGTTTTTTTTTTTTTTGGTTTTTTTTTTTTTTTGTTTGTTTTTTTGTTTTTTTTTTTTTTTTTAAATGGAAGGAGCTAGGACATAAGAAGGAAACATGGCAAATTAAAGCCTGATGGGATTTCTTCTCTTTTATGTCTCAGACTCCTGACAGGCTGCAAACATTTTAATTATATTTCAATAAATATATACGTATAATTTTAAATTCTCACTCCACAAGTAGTATGATGGATGTTTTCTTTAGAATATCTTGTGATTAATCTGGGATGGTTTTCGTTTTAATGTATTGGTATTAAACAAGTCTAATAGTTTAAGCCATATTCTTTCAAACTGGCATGATGAGTTTTACTGACAAACTTTTTTCCTAATATCTTTAATTCTAGAAAGCCTTGCGACCCGACATGGGCTATAATACACTTGCCAACTTCCGAATAGAGAAAAAAATTGGCCGTGGGCAGTTCAGTGAAGTTTATAGAGCAACCTGCCTGTTGGATGGAGTACCAATGGCTCTGAAGAAGGTTCAGGTAAGGATGACTTTTTGTATAAACATAAAAGAATTTGGTACAATGAAATTTGAAAGTCATATGTCATTTGTATGTGATCTTAATGAATTTCTAAATACTTAGCATCCAGACAGAGCTTTGAAAATTTGACATGCCTGTGAAGTGTTTCACAAACCAGTGTTTTGAAATTGAAAGTCAAGTCCAGAGTTGTTGGGAAAAGATAACATACATAAATTAGCCGTATAAGAACAGTCCTAAAGAAATCTTGGAATCTATAAATAGTATAAATATTTAGTGATGTCTAATGTGGGATATATTATGCAAATTCACACTTTTTTTTTTATTAAGTAAACATCTGTAAGTTTTTCAGGTATCAAGTGTGCTTCAAGAGTGCATAAATCAAATAAGGTGGGTATGTAGTCAAACATGTAATAGTTGAAAGGAATTACTGTTTTGAAAGACTGAAAATTACCTGATACCTTTAAATATAAATCAAAACTGCTTGAATCTATAGCTCAGTGTTTCCTTCAGATTTCAGGATACAACTGTGTTCATATTATCATATTCATGAATAATATATCTCTGTGTGAGACCCTCTATAGTAACTAAATGTGAGTGCACTGTGGAATTAAGTGAATTGCATTGGTCAAAGTATTTTCTTGAGGACCCTTAATATTTCAAAGTTTCACAGCTTAGCCAGTGGTGAAGCAGCAGTTCTGTCACAAAAGATGGAAGAGCAGTGATCTGATTAAGTTACTGCAGCCAAGAAACATTAAGCCCTTGTACATTTTAGCATAAGAAACGGGCTGATTAATTGTTCAAATATTTCGTCTTTACAGTTAGCAATTTTTAAAATATTTAAAACAAAAGTCACAATTTAAATTAAAAACTCTTGCTTTTTGATTGTCACACAGGCAAAAGGCGGCTTGAGCTAAGCCTCTATCCAGTATTATTTCCGGTCTGTTTTTTTTGTTTGGAGCTGCTCAGAGGAGTTTGTTATAAGATTATTACCTTCTAAAAATTCTCTACTGGATTTACTTTGAAAAGTCCCTGACAATGTGTTTAGTTTGGAAATCAAAATTAAAATTGTCATTTCCGTTCTGATCTCTTGAGATATGTTTAGTGTATTACTTGTAGGAGTACTGCCATTAATTCTGAAGGGTTTTTTGATACCTATTATATACTGCAAAACAACATATATCAGATTTCTCTTTTCTAGCGTTTCTAGATTTTAATATTTTTTTTTTTCTGTGGTAATGCATGCACTGTAAACTTCTCTGTCATATCTTGACTTGCTGTTCCATTTCTGTTATTTCCTGTGCTCTGCAGCACCAGGAGGCAGGGCTAGTCCTGGCAGTCATAAAAAAAGAGACTTGGTTCCCCCTTCTGGGAAAACTGCCAGATATATACTACTTCAAAAGATGAAATATATTCTAAGAACTTTGATCAACAGTCTTAAAACATTAGGCTAATTCTTCCTTCATTTTCAGTGTGTGAAAATCCAAAAAGGTCAAATATGACTTGAAATGCATGTCAATTAAGGTGGATGTGGAATGCCTGGGTACTTGAAAAAAGTCATAAAGTCCAGCCTTTCATTGTTAACTATGAAATTTTTATAACTGTGCTTTCATTAAGAATACAGAGGCATTATAGCATGTGTACTCTTAACAGTATTTCAAAAGTCAGTATGTATAGCTGTATTCTCACATCAGATTTTCCAGTTTGACGAAAGATTTTTTTTTTCAACTCATGAAGGTGACATGCTGCCCATATACAGGTGATAGTTTCTATCTTAAAAAGCTTTCTTGTTTTATTTAATCATTTAATGAATACCTAAGAATATGCTTGGTGGTTGGTAGGGCATAGGGTTAAAGAGTTGTGGCTCTCCCAAGTGACTTTATCCCAATAGTGTTACGACTGTCATAAAGTACCCAATGTATGCTGTTGGTTTTCCATTGAATGTTATTGCCTAGTGTACAACAGAAGGGGCTACCTTCTGTAACCTGTAAAATCACCTTCCATGAGAAGGCTGGATATATGTAGGAGAATATTATCCGAATGGAAAGTGAGATTTGGTTAACCTGTCAGGGAAAAATGTTCCTAAGCATAACATGAAATATTACCTGGACTTGAAAAGGCTCATGGCAGCACTAAGTGTTTGGCACAGCCATTTTGGCTTGCCTCGTTGACACAAAAAGCTGTTCTGTTTGGATAGAAGACCATCTTAATTGTCACTGTGCTTCTGTGACTTTCCCTAAGATTGCCTAGAAATATTTTTGTTAAATATAGTAATAATACTCAATTTCACAATAAAATTTGTTTTCATTGCTGTCTTTTGGTGAGAAGTGATTGCTTTTCAGAGGAGCTTTTGTGGGTCCGCTTGGTGATAGTGCTTCTTGCTTTTAATTTTGGTCACCTTTTCTTGTATTAAAATACTGCCATTTTTTCTGATGCCTCATTAATGGAAACTCAGCGTGCACAAAACAAGAGAAATGCTTCTTTCTGTCAGGAGTGAGAGGCTCTATTCTCTCTACTTTAGACCTGGGCATGTATACTGCTTTCCACATTTCTGTATTGAGACAGTGTCTCTAAATGCTGTACTTCATGTTAAATAGAGTATCTGAGACCTGGAGCTCCTTCTACTTTCCCACTTTCTGCTCACTGTCATCTCGCATCTTTACTACATGCCTTCCTCTCTAATCCTGCAAGTTGTATCTGTTCCACCCCTCCTGGTTTTGTTTTCCTGTCTGGGTTGGGTGTATAGCTGTTCTCTTTATGTGTATTTGGTCAGTGGTTCCCCATGTTTGTCTCTGCCTTCAAGGGCTGATGTGACTTAGAATTCTTCAGTTATCATTTCTTTAAGAGTTACTGGATCTCAGGCCATTATTTTTTTTCCAAAAGGTTTGCCAGTTTTGAGTTCTTATGAAGCTTTCCAACAAGAATGTTTATTTTCTGCTATTAAAATTTTATTTGGCTGAAATATGTACAATATTGATAAATGTTACATTAATGTGTACAAAATGTATGTTTGTGGAACTAAATGTGAGCAGAAGCAAGTGGCAGTAAGATGCTGTGGGAGAAAGGACAAGCAGATGGTGACAGAAACCACTCTTTCTGAATTTGTAGTTGCTGCTGAGTCCGGATGACACAAAGAAGTAGTATTCTTGATTTGGTTTCCAGTAGGATATGTAGCAGAGTGAAAACTGTTTAATTTGCAGTTTCTTTCTAGTAATTCAGCAGAATACACAAAATAGTATGTTGTGTCTTTTTTGCTCATTGTATCCTTCATGCTTCATCTTCCCTTGTGTGGTTTGACTTCTTGTAATTAGGGAAGCGGTATTTATAATAATTAGATTTTCTCATTTTTCATGGAACTAGGTTTCTGAAATGCTGTTGAAATATTACCTAACTAAAACCAGAATTAAAAAAAAAAAATCTTCATTACTTCACTTTCACTAATGTCTAAACTATTCTTGGAATCAAAGAGGGATCAGGAAAGATCAACCACAGATAAACTCTGAATATAGCTGTATGAGTCTGAAGAGCTTCTAGATAAGTTTCTTAACATGTGTTAAGTCTGAGGTCCAAACTATACTGAAAGATCATGCCTGAGGAAGAAGCAGTACATCTCTGCTGTTGCCATGATAGGTAACCCTCACAGCAGAACCATCAGCAACACCCTTTGGGTATGGTGTGGTGATGTGAGCAACGAGTGCTCCAGTGGGCACTTCCAAGGGGGGAGGCAAACAACTGAGAGACACTGGAATAAACGCTCACAAAACACACTTAAAGGGCAAAAGAGCTGTAAATATCTGAAGTCAGTAACTTCAGTAAGGCTGTATAAGTTTACTTTATGAGCTATTTTTAAAGTAAACCTTAGCTATTCAAAATTTAAAATACCATGTGAAACTGCATATTTTGACAAGATTCCAGATTCATTACAGTTCTGCCTTACATTGTTCCACCTTTCCTTTAATTCCAAAATTGGAGACCCTGGTGTTAGAGATTCAGACAATGAATCCTTTTATCTAGCACTTACATTCATTATTCATTGTGCATTGTCAGTGGATTGCTACTTCGGGCCTGAATTAGAGATAATTAATCTTAGGAAAGCACTGGTAATTTCACACTTTATGAAGCACTATTGTCTCAGCACAGCAGTGCTGTGGTGGCAAAATACTCTAGTGCTTGTTGTTGCTATTCAGTATCATACTACCTCTTAATATTTATATGCATTCAAGTCTTTATTTTGTTTACTTGTCTGTAAGTTTATGTTAGAGCAGTCATGCTTGTGTTTTGCTTTGGAAATACTTTTTGGTATTCTTATTTTATACAGAATTTCAAACCGAAATAGGTTAAATTGTCATTTAAATAGTGAGGTTAGAAAGACTTTTATCCTTTTCCAAGTTTTCAGTACTGAAAAGTGATGGACTTTAGAGCAAGAGCAATCAAGTAGATTCTCTGTGTGGCATGTTACTTCAGATGAGTTAAATTGGTAGCTGGTAATTGATCAGATGCAGTCTACACTTACAAGCTAAGGCTTGATGTTTTCCATCTTGTGGTTAAATGTTTATAAACTTTCTTGCTATACACTTAGCTTTCTAGGAGATCTAGTTGCATGTGTGAGCATGTGTGTAAGAACTTTACTCAGGAAGTTGATTTCATGTATTGCAACCTCCTTGGTTAGTTAACAGATTTGTATAGGGAACAGTTCCCACTCTGTACCTTAGAGTAGCTTAGGAACTATTCTAAAAATACCAGTTTCTCTTGACAATACTTACAACTGGTATTTGTAAAATGCCGAAATAATAAAATTATAATCTACATTCACATTGAGGTACTGGAGAAGCAATTCAGTGCAAAGTTACCAGAGATCCCTTAGTTGCATAGAATACAAAAGGGAATATTTTGGAATAAGTATTGTTGTATGCTTGTTCTTCTACTCTTCCCTTGTGTGCTATTGATTGCAGTAGGAGATGAAAAACTGAGAGCTAAAAATGGAGTTTTTGTTTCACTTAGTGTTCTTGCTCAGTGGAAAAAAAAAATTGCTAAGGGCTTTAAAAATGATCTCTTAAGTCTCTTCAGCTGTATTTGCCTAATTGTTTTCAGGAATTTCACAATAACTGCTAACTAAGATGTGCTTACCACGGTGAGATTTTTTTTGATTACACTCTTCATGAAAACTGGCACTTACTATAATTTTTGCTTATTATTAGGTTTTCCACAGCAAATGTAATTCCTTTGTAGAGATGTTAATCTTATAATAGTGCTTGAAAATAGAATTTGGGGAAAAATAATTAAAATTTTAAATAAGAGTATATTACACTGCAATTTGTGCTGACTAGAGAAACACACTTCCAACCTGAGTTATCCTTTGATCCTGACCCCGTAAGTGGAGTCAAGAATTAGAATTTATTGTTAGTATAATTAATGCCCTAGCAGTCTAATCGAAATGCAGCAGTTTTTATTGTTAGCCAATTATAGTGATGCTAACACTTGCAGTCTCATTACTGCTAGCTTCCAATAATCGATGCGTGCAGCATCATCGTCATCCTGAGCCCTGCTGGGAGGAGAATGCTGGTGGTGGCTCTACCCGGGCTTTTGCTGGGTGCTTTCAAGCAATCAGTTGCTTATGCTTTGTGTCAATCCAAAAGCTTAGATGTTAATCACTCAGGTTGTGTTGGACCTTTATGGTATCTGCTCTAATTTCCTTAAGACTGTGCAGTTGCACAAAGCTGAGCTAAATCTAGAAGCAAGTTAGACACAAGTCATTCGACTGAAATGGCTTTGTTAAGTCACTCAGCTGCAAGGCATGTGCTGCTACAGCTAAAGCCAAGCTCAGAAAATAAGTGCAGGCCAAGAGAAATCCAGACAAAAGATTGCAGGTCCTTAGGCAGTGTGTTTCTGGGGCGATCTGGGGCCTGCTAATAGCAGCGGCAATGCTGTCTTTACAGGGCTGGATATCGTGCGTGTGAGAGAATTCTGTGTGCAGCTCTCCTGCTGGAGAGGGGGGAGCATAAACTGACCTTTCAGGTTGGCTTGCTGAGTAATGGTAGCTGAAGATGGAATTAGTCTGCTAGCAAAGCTGTAAGCTGTTACTCTTGCAATGGAAGTACTGACATCGCTTCCTATTGTTACCGTAATGGCCAGCGTGCAGTAAACCCCAAGCGAAGGACAGCTGCTCCTGCGCCGTCAGCTGCTCTGCGGCAGCGCCTCCAAAACAAACCTGAGCGCTGCCAGGTGCCACGTGTAATTTTGCCATGCACTTGAAAGGATGTTCTTAAGCTCTTAAAATTCTTCATTGCAGCTTCCATTTTTCAGCATAAGACATTCTTCAGTGTTGAGTCACCTTCTGGTGATGAAGCACGAAGGCTTTTTCATCGTGTTTACAGTAGCCTCCTTGTGTGAGCTGACATGGCTTATTACAGTAGGGGCCTCTGATCCGAACAGCAGCCGTTTGGCAAAATGGAAAGATAATCTGTTCAGAAAGAAAATCTCTGCAGGGTGGTTGGATCTGGTACGATAGGTGTCATGGTTTAGGCCCAGCCAGCAACTAAGCACCATGTGGCCACTTGCTCATTCCTCTTCCCACTCCCTTCCTCCCTCCCTCTTCCTCCACCCCATGGGATGGGGAGGAGAATCAGAAAATGTAAAAACTTACGGATTGAGAGAAGGACAGTTTAGTAGGACAACACAAGGAGAGAAAATAATAATAATAACAACAGTAATGTAGCAAAAGAGTATATGGAGTGAGTGATACACAATGCAATTGCTCACCGCCCAGGACCTGATGCCTAGCACGTTCCTGAGCCATGATCCCTCCTCCTCTTGCCAGGTCCCCCAGTTTATATTCTAGCATGATGTTGTATGGTATTGAATACCCCCTTGGCTAGTTTGGGTCAGATATGCCAGCGGTGTCACCTCCCAGCTTTTTGTGGAAAATAAACTCTAGCCCAGCTGAATCTGGGACATATGGCCGAGGTTATTCAGAGGCCATGGATTGATTTTTTTAGTTTTATCGTTGTTTTGGGTTATGGGTTTTTCCCCCTAATCTTATCATTGGAGCAAGTTAGTGTCTGCAAGCCTGAATTTCTGCATTTCTGGAAAATCCTATTCATAGTCTTTTGAGGTTAGATCTGGGCCAAAGTCTAATGGACAACCTCAAAAATTATATACAGTAAATCTTCAGATTGTGTGTTCGTAAGGCTGATAAGCAGAAGTGTGAAGCTTCAAGACATGACCCTATACCTGTCCCCTTTTTTTTCCTGCTCCCAGTACACACTTGGATTGTTTTGGGGAGAAATGGTATAAAATTTTCCATTAGGTGGTCCCTTAAATTACATGGAAAGCCAATTATGATCTTTTGTCTTCCCAGTACTTCCTCAGTTAGTATGCTACCTCTCGTATTTACAACTTTCCTAAGTGTTTCCTAGAAAAACCATTACAGTCCTTCATGACTGTACCAAACACTAGGACTTCAGTCTATTGACAGAACAATTAAAGGGCAATGTTTTTTTCAGTCAGAGTTGAGATCTATAACAGATGTAGGCTATTTACTCTCCTTCACTAAGTTTCCAACCTTAAATCATAAACCATCTTTTCTGTCTTTTCCATTAGTGTTATTTACCTTTTAGCATTTGTACCTGGAATTTCATAGATAGTGCTAATCTTTTCTACTACATCTGAAATTGTTTTATTTCTTAATGTTAGCATTCCTTTCTTGTGACTTATACTGCTGTGTTTCTGTTACGTCCCCCACAGTCTCCTGCTTGAATAATCGCTTCTTGCTCAGTCTGTTTATTTTCCATCATGCTGGCGTTAATATACGAGTAGTTGTGAGATGGTTTATTCCCTTTTTTTCTTGGTCAGTAGTTTTGTTTTCTTCTTCTTTTCCTTCTTCTCCCCCTTTTCTTCTTGCTGTCTACAAGTCTGGCATTTCAGTTCTTGACTTAGAGTTGTTTTTTTTTGGTTTTTTTTTTTTTTTTTTTTTTCAAAAAGTGACTCTTGTATCCACTTCTGGCTGTTTTTTCCTATGCCAGCTCTGAAGACAGAATATTGGATTTCTGAAGGGAAGTAGTGTCTAGTCAGGAGCACATGTGTGCTCTGCGGGGACTGTGCTCCATGCATGAAGTTTCTAGACTTCTTCTTTCAGTTGATTAAAGGAATGACGAACTTATTGTGCGTAGTGGCATAGGAAATGAAGATGAGGTTTAGCAGATCATATGTGAACTTCCTGATTTGTTTGAACTTGTTTGGGAAGAGTGGAAGAAGGTGTGATTCACATGGACAGTTATGCAGTCAGTTTAAGAGATGACCTCTTTGCAGACAGTCAGTACTCAAAATGCCGTTAATACTTATTTTTGTTTCTGGGGTTGATGGCAAGGCATGAAATAGAAGTTGTCAGCTGTTGAACTTTTGATCATTTTGTGCTGATGGAACCAGGTACCAGTGATCTTCATAACACATAGTACATCTTTTCCTGGAGACTATCTAGAAAGACATGATGTGCATTGAAAGGATGTAAGTGGAATAAGTGATCTCATAAATGTGGCAATTACTAAAACTCATAGTACATCTCTATTATTCTTACAGATAGATCACAATGTAATGGCAGAGCACACAGACATTGATGAGTGAGGTTTTGTTTCTGTGTTTCAGGATGTTTCTGTGGGTTTGATTTTGTTTTGTTTTTTTTTATTTTTAATTCAGAAAATAATGGCAAATGAGAGAGGAAGGGTTACTTGAAGGAGTAACATTTTGGTCATTTCTAAGCAGAATAGTTGGTGGCAGTGTATGGAAACGCACATGTGAGAAGGGAACCCAAAGGTGGTAAAAAAAGAAGTGAAAGTAGAAAGTCATTATATTAAACTTAATGTCTAGAACATGGATAAGGACTTTAATAGCAGGAAAAAATTACTCCAAACAAAAACTGAAATTAGTGGATAGTAACGTGGTTAACTGAAGGAGGCAAAAATGAGATGCATTGCAGAGTAATTTGGAGCAGGTAGGAGGTGGGGAAAAAAAAAAAAAAACGGAGAGCAGAGATGTCTAACGGTAAAAGGCTGTAAAAGTCAAGGTGACAGATGAGGTCTTAGGAAAAGATGCTCTAGTAAACAAATTACAGAACCCGAATCACTTCTTTGCTTACTGAAGGGAAGGAAATGGCAGAGAAGGAATTGGAGGTGACAGTGAAGTTTTGATCCTGAGAGACAGAGTAAAAGTGAATGCATTATTTAGAACAGAAGAGGGAAACTGTAGGAAGAGACTAGGAAAAAAGGGGTATGCTCAGTGCTGGAAAGAATCAGTCTGTGATAATGGTGTGGCAGGAATGGCAGAGAAAGCTGACATTGGATTAGAACCAGTTTGAAGGAAATGTGCTGAATTATTGCTGTGTGTTTGAACAGATATGCAGAGGTGGCAATTAAGTAATTGAAAAACTTTTACTTACAATGCGCTTGTTTCCTATGAGGGGGCTAAAAGAATCTATATAGCAGTAAATCAGTACATCGGAACATTAGGAATATTTCTTACAGCGATGTTCTGTCCTGCCATGAAATACATAACTCAAGTTGCTTTATGTATGCTATGAAATAATGATAATGATCACTCAATTTGCTATATTTTTATCACTTAATAAAAATGTCTTATCTCTTGTGCATAGATATTTGATTTAATGGATGCCAAAGCCCGTGCTGACTGTATCAAAGAAATAGATCTTCTTAAGGTAAAAGATTTGTTTAAAAAAATGTATAGCCATCATCAAAGTATATTAGGTTTTTCACAGATATACTTAAGATGTCCACTGTTGTCTGTGTAGTTTTTATAAGCCTCACTAAAGGGAATTGTATAATGTTTATTGGTTTAAAAATTAACATTGAGAAGTAAATCCTATGGGGAAATGGGTAACTTTTCAAGTAGCGGTTTCTGCTAAAACCGTGGTATTGTAAACAGCTGTGTCCTGTGTACAGTAAAATACTGATTTTAAAATTTGACTTAGTTTTAGATAAGTTTCGCATGCTATTGCACAGACACAGTGAAGAAAAATTCCTCTATAATTACAAATGCAGTCATCATGTTGGTTCTAAAATGCCATCATGTTCTTGCAAAATATTTATCTGTAACTGCTTCCCATAAGCATACACTTTTTGTATCATACTGAAATAGGTTGTAGGGGTTGTTTTGTTTGTGTAAATAAGAATGTTTCATTTGTCAGTCTTAAAAGATAAGACATGCTCTACACTAAAATGTGCATTATTATTCTGCTTTCTTAGCAACTGAATCATCCAAATGTAATTAAATATTATGCCTCATTCATTGAAGACAATGAACTGAACATAGTGTTGGAATTAGCTGATGCTGGCGATCTCTCTAGAATGATAAAGGTAGGAATTAACTTTTTGAAAAAAATTAAAAGCTTGTTCAACTTCTTTGGCTTTTCATTCTGCATGTTTATTGCTGGGTGAAATGCAGTGAAACTGTCAAGAACTGTGGAGAAAAGTGGAGTGTTTAGATTTTAAGGCTTTTAAACGTATGCCCAGTGTTGATGCTTACGTTAAGTATTTTTAACACTGTCGCCCAGAATGTAGGTGCAGATGGGGACATAACTAGTCTGAAATTATATCAGCACTGGGGAGAAGAAGAACTGTAAAGAAAAGCACTGTCACCACCATTTAGAACAATACATTCTGTCAGCACTCCTGATTTTTGGCACAACTGTGTTTTGTGTTCCAATATTCTAGTCTCTGTAATGGCAGTGAAAGCAGAGGAAGGCTGGTGTCATAAGGCTGAAGAAGTTTCTTCTAGATATTGAACTTCAACTGTTAACCAATTTAGCAAATAAAAATTAAAATGGAAATAACATCATCATTTTATAGGTCTGGTTAAATACTTCTTTATCTTGAGACTAACAATTTGATATGTGGTTTAAATCACATGCAGTGAATTGACTGATATATCGTTGTGCACTATGGGTTAGTTGCTTTCTTTTATAGTTTTTAAATGCCTTTTTTAGGTAATCAGAAAAATTTATCCAAGACTTGTTGTATAAGCTTTGTATTCTGAAACTTGTATTAACTTTTCATTAGCTTTTTTATCTTTGTCATTTGGCAACTACTTCCCCTCTTTCCCTACCCTTTTTCCACTGGGTCTTGGTTTTGGTATGTCCCTTTGGTGTACTTTCTTGTGTGCACACCAACATTATTGTTGTCAACACAGCGTAACTCTGGGAACACATAATGCCAGTCAATTAGCATTCACCCAGCAACAGCCAGGCACAGAACAGAGTTCTGCTTTTTTGCTTAGGACCTACATGAATAGAGAATGTTAATTTATTCATTAATGACTTTCATATTGCTTTTTTTTTTTTTTGTGCTTTTGAAGAATATTCCCTTCTAGATTGATAATTGTAAGGTAGGACAATCAGAATTTGGTTCTAAACAGGTTGACAGTGTTCTGTTAATATTTATATCCAAATCTGATATTTTTCTTCATCTCATGAATTATTAATTCTGTGGGCTTACATTTCATAAAACATAAAGGAAGGTTTGTCTTTTCTTTTGAATGTTGAGTTTTGACACAACAGTTATTAATATGAGTACTCTGTGACAGATTGCCTTATGGCATGTCTGGTCTTATGACCCATTGAAGCTTTTTCTTTTTCCTCTGCTTTTTTTTTTTTTTTTTTAAATCCAGTGTGTGAAGTGTGAATAATGGCTTCTTCAGTGCAGTTGGCCTCATTACACCTTGTCCAGGTCGGTGGGTATTTCTTACTGACTCGATCTTGGAGGCACTTTGTGATTGTCCTCTTAACACAGGGGTCATGTTTAATGTAGCAAACTTAGATTGCTGTTTGATGTTAATGACAGCCTATCAGGCTATTATTAAATATGTATGAAGTGTCACAATGCACTCAGTCTTCATGCTGCTGGTGGAGGAAATGATTTGGTAGATCACTTGGATGGTGTGAGTTTAAATGTGGGGTGCATCAGTTATACAGTGTCTTCTTAAAGAAGTATTTTAGAAATAGACTGAAAAAGAAATGATATGTAATGGCATGAAATCTTACTAGCAGAAAGGCTGCCTGTCACACTGTTAAGATAAATAACTATGTTGTGTTATTAAAACAAACAAACCATGCTTTAGTTTCCAGTGTTCTTGCTAGAATGCTGTTCTAAGTTTGTTGGAAGATGTTGAGGCACCCCCAGAAGAGTGTTTGGGTATGAGGCTTCTTGTGTGATTTGTAGAAAGCATCAAGCATGTTTTTGAAATTGTAAATGACCATAGCTTGAATGACACTGAAACCAATGTTAATGCGAGGGAAAACTACTTAACTAGTTTACGTGGGTATTTGTTATGACATTATTGGCACATCAGAGAATAGTTACAAAGCTGCTGTGCCTCACAGTGCACCTTAATGAATTCTTTAGTTCTTCACTTAATGAACCACATCCTTGCTGCCCAGCTTTTATACTATCCCTCTTGTTACCTGTGAATAATACTCTCTTTGTCCCCATTGAATAGACAACTAAGGAAAATCACTTGGTGCATTCATATGGATTCTAATAGAATTCATAGAATCTGCTGTATGTCCAAAAAAAAAAAAAAAAAAAAAAGCAGCCGTGCACTGGCATTTACAAATGGCATAATGAAATCTAAGATATTTCGTGTATTCTCTCTGTGTGTTTATGTATGTACATACACAGATTTAATCCACTTTACCTTGATTATATTTTGAAATTGCCTCTGTCACAGAGAAGTGTTTCAGTACAGCCTTCATTCTCAAAAGTTGGAGGATCCAAAATCGAGGCTTTCTTATCTTACAACTTTTAATGGCCTGGTAGAATTCTTGGACATGGCATACCAGTAATACTGAGAGGCAACCGTTGTCAGTGAGGGGGAAATACTTGCATTTGATGTACAGTTGGTTTTGCACTAGCATATGTACCTCAGTACTCATAACCCCAGTGTGGGAATGGTGAAAGGAGGAAAGAGTCTTGATTTTCTGTGAATTAGGCTGATGGATACTATTACATCAGAGATTTTACAGGTAAATAATTAGTAACACTCGTGCTCATTCCCAGTTGCTCCTGGTTTGTTGTTTGTCAGTGTCTGTGGTCTCTACTGTGAAATGTAGTGACATGGCTACCAAGGTTAAAGGTAGTTTATGAGAACTCTTGTTACCTTGTAATACCACCTCCTTTTACAAAACAAAGAATACAAAAAAAGTGTTGTAAAGCAGGTTTGAGTCTTGATCCCTTTTCCTATTAGCCATGGTTCTTTACCACAGCCAGTGACAGCGTGAAAATTGTTCTGGGGACTTTTTTGGTTTGGGATTTTTAAATTTTTATTTTAAAGCAACAATTAATATGTTGAATGCCATAAATAAAGAAGAATCTACTAATTGCATTCGTGAAGAAAATACATAGTAATGATTCAGTAAAAAGAACTAGTTAGTAAAGTCTGTGCTGAAGATGTTGAAATGAGAATTTTTGAACTATCTTGCAGAATAATTAGCATATTATTTAAGATTAAATGTAAAGTTATTAGGAAGGCTTGTAAGAAGGGATGATACCAAGACAGTGATGTGTGTTTTTTTGTGGTGTTGTTTTTTTTTTTTTTTAATTAGGAAAACTTCTAGGTCTATTTCATTTCTGCAGGTATTTTTACTTTTTCTGGCAAATAATCTTCGCATACACAAAATGCAAACTTTAAACTGAATATGTCACACAGATCTTAAGGAAGTTAATCATGTTTTGGGAACAAGCATGGAAGCTTTCATCTAAAAAGTTGAAAATATGTTTGCAGCTTTCTCAGGATAGATGGAAAATAATTTGAATTCTACAAAATGTCACCTAAGCACTTCACTCTTTTGAGAACACTTTTTGTGTGTATTTTTTTTCAACTTCAAATTAAAAAAAACCAAACATAATGTAATTATCTAGGTAAAATAAGACAAATATTTTAAAACTTCTCATCAGTATGAAGTTCGTATTGATATCTTAGGTTTCTGTAGTTGGGAACAGTGAATTCTTTGTCTTTAAACATACTTGGTTTCTATAGGACAGCCAAAACACAGGGATAGTCACTTTGCAAGCAGCTGATGCATATCTAAATTGCTTGTGTCAGTAGCTGGGGCTCTGTTTAGACTTGTTTGAAATCTCATTGATTATCGTTCTGGTGTTTCACTGGTGGTGGATAGTTTGGGCTTCACTGTGTGAAATTGCATAAGGCAATTTCTCTTCTCCACATGGTCTGGGATGCAGACCCTCTTCTCCCCATGACAAAATATATTAGCAGTGAGGCTTTTTGGAACTTATTTGCGGTACTCCCAGGTTGACTAACTTGCCTATGCTGCATGAAGGGACAGCTTGCCTTTTTTGAGGGCTTAAAGAGTGGAAGCAATTTTAGTTTCAGTCACTGGCAGCTTTGCCAGCCTGGAGTGCTGCTCCTGCCTGTGTGAAGCAACCACGACTCCATTGCAGCATCCATGTGACTGCAGCCTGAGTGTGTCAGTGTGAGGTGGCTACAGGGTAAGTTGACAGCCTTTGGGGATTTATAGTTGAGTTGTAATGGCAGTGGATTTGGAAGGAACGTAGGGCACCGAGTAGTTGTTACAGTCTGCCTTATGTGAAATTTCAGCGGTATCTGAGGCTGGACAGCACTGAATGGAGGGTTATTTGTGTCATTCTGAACTTGGGTGGTGATCAGGTGCAAGTCAAACTTCTGCATGGGTTGCTTTTGTGGGCTTAGCAGTGCATCTTGTCCCCTTCTTCTTGCAAGCGTGGCAGAGTTGAGGGGGGCATGTACTGCTACAGAAGTGAATTACTTTTTCTATCTGCAAACTAGCTGCCCTGGATTGCTGGGTGGCTAGTAGCCCATGACTGACCATTCTCACTGCAGGGAAGCTGGTTATGTTGCTGAGAATGGAATCTTGTCACTTGTTTTTTTCAAACTGTGGTGGATTGTTGTCCTGGGAATGTGCTAGAAACAGAGATGGTTTTTCAACAGTGTGGTTCTCTGATGAATGTTGATACCACATATTAACTAGGGCTTGACTTTGCTTAATTTTAAGAGTGGTATTTTTCATTTTCTGTGATAATTGGAAGATTTTTGCAAGTATGGCATTAGGGAAGAACCTGTGTAAGGAAGAGGTACAGTGTCAGAATTTAGCAGGTCAAGCAAGTGTTTGCTTTTTGCCAGGGCATGACCCAGTGTTTTGGGAAACCCTCAGCTATTCACTGACTATATTGTTTGTCTATTTCTTTATCATACAAAATATTGATTTACAACTTTAGCAGTTGTTGGAAATAGTTGGCATTCATGTTTGGAAGGCTGGTGGGACAATGATGATGTCTCCAATGTAGTTTGAATGTTAGTGTTGCAG